AGCCGAAGAGCCAGCGCTGTCCGCAGACGTTTCCGTGGTCATGACTAAACACCAAGGCGCACGGAACGCTGTTACCTTCCCACCGAAGTGGTACCTATTTATCTACGTGCAATTTCTTGCTTTCGAACTGCTAGGTTGGCTGGAGCTGGAACTAGAGACGGGAGCTCACCCCGTCTTGCGGCACCTGGGTCTCGAACTGCTGAACTACTGACCTTCCACAGCCTGCAGTTCAGCGTCTTAACCACTTGAGCCACCGCAGCTCCAATGGCACTGTACAGAAAGCAAAAATGATAATGTTTACACACAGAATCGGCCTGAGATGTTCCTTTTCTGGACACCAAGCTTTGCTGGCCATAGCACTGCTTTTCCGTGTCTTCATCAATGGGTTATTCAGGCAGCACATTTATTATCTCTTCCTGGGCTTATGAAGTGGAAACCTGAAAAAGCTAGAGAGGTTATGTGTAAGCAGGGAGGTAATAACTTTTTTTGTGGGCTAGCTACCTAATTGCAAGATTGTGGCAGTACTGATTCTAATGATGCCTACAGAAGTTGGATAATGGAGGGGGGTATTTATTTATTTACTTGGTAGAAACATTTGTTAGCCACTTTTCTCCCTTGTAGAGCTCAAGGCGGCTTAACTATAGATAAACATAAAAACACAATTAAAACAACCGTTATAAAACCTGTAAAAGTCACAGATTTAAAAACTCCTATTAAGATTGCCAATAGTAAAAACAAAATCAATCAAAAGGCAGTACTAAATAAAACTGTCTTCTGGGTAGACTTTCTGGACATTGAATAAAATACCTTTTTCCCTTAGAAAAAAAAGAAGTGTACCCAGGAATAGCAGTCTTCTTCCAAAATGCTTTTATCTTTTTTGGGTAAGCATACCTTTTATATTCATATGTGCTTAAAATGTAAGTTGCTTGAACATTTGGTAATGAGTCTTTTTGAGGATGAAAGGAGGATTGTTGGAGATGATTGGTGGCAACTGGCAGCAGAGAGCAATGGTAGAAGTGAAGCTTCTTGGATTATGTTATCAAGGGAGATGGGGTAAGGGCTCAGGTCTGTTTTAACACCCTTGTTCCTGCATTCAGCCATGACAGTAAGCAGTGGTTTGGGCAGCAAACTCAGGTTAGTGGGCCTAATGTAAGTAAAAAATTCCAATTTGTGCATGAGCCCTGGTTTGTTTGCCCCTCAGCAGGGAGTTCCTCTTCCATGTGCTGCTGTTTTAGGGGCCAGGCAGATAGAAGGAACAGAGCAGCTCAACTAACTATGGTTTATGAATTCGGACAGCTAAAGAAATTGCAGGTAAATCAGACTGTAGCCTGGAAACCAGCTACAAACCATAGTTTGAATTCCCAGTTTGGTAACGTCTACCAAAGTCCAGTTTGCCGACATCTTGCATTCAAATGTCAAAGCTAATACTGGTTTGGCCAAAGTGTGGATTGTGTTGGTTGAATACAGCCTGATAGTGTGTTTCCAGGCTGCAGTCATTCAATAGTGAGGAAACAAACCTTGTACACACTCAGAGGTATCTTTCACACTACTTTTATATGTTTCTTGGAAGAAGGGGGCCTGGGCAAAGATAGGGAAGGGAGTTTATTTATTTATTTATTTATTTCATTTATACCCCGCCCTCCCCGCATGCGGGCTCAGGGCGGCTTACACGGTGATGTTAAATGGGTGTGGCCAAAGTATGAAGTGTGAGAATGCAAGAGGTACTTGTAAAAGGTTGTTTGTGCTTATGCTGTAGGCCAGTGTTTCCCCATCTGTGGGTCATGAGGCCTGTGAAAGTGGCTGATGGGCTTTTGCAGTTTTATTGATCTGTGCCTGCTCACTTTTAAAGTGGGACAGCATACCAAAAAGGTTGGGTAAGCATACTGCTGTAGGTGCAGGGGTAGGTTACAATGCCCTCCCAGCCTTTGCTGTACATAAAACATGGTGAGAAATAGACATATCTAAAGTATGTGGTTTCTGTCAGTCTCTCTTGGCAATGCAGGGTCTATGTGGTAGCCTCTAAGGCCTCTTTAATCAGCCATTTATACCTACACAGGAGTGGGGAACCTTCAGTAATATGTGGCTTAGTGAACATTGCTCAAATACATTAAAATAGATTTTTCTTAACATAATGTTTGTCAGTAGCTGAACCTTCGTTCAACTTAATTGTACCTGTAACAAGTCTAGGTTTCAGGCTGTGCGTAAAACATTATTTGAGAGGGGCTGTAGGTGTGGGCCACAACAATGAGCTAAAGATACCCTAGTAAGAAAATAAAAAGAAAGGATTGTATCCTGCCTACCGCCACCATGTTGAGTGGCGCATATTCCATTCTATTTGTGCAAAATCTACAATTATTTAGAAATACCCCAGCTATACATATACATGCACACACAAAGGTGTCAGTAACTTGACAGCCTATGAAACTGCTTTAAGGAAAGCTTTGCAACCAATCATCTGTAAGTCCCTTAAATGAAAGAATGAGGTTTGCTTTGGGAGCCGCCCCCCCCCCCCGCTTCACTGGTTTATTTTAGCTGTGCATTGGGTTTAGTGGGAAGGGCCAGGTCTCACGTGGCTGTTGGCTGGTGCTTTTACAACCACTTTCAATAACTAGGTATCATCCCAACTACAAATTCATGTAGCTATCTAAAATTGTCAGAGACAGACAGGCACTCCCAAATACATTTCATCCCATTCTCATTGACATTGATGAGGGCACTTACAGTGATAAAAGCTTGTTCACACTGTACCCCATTGTATGGGCTCTGTGTGTAGTGATGCATGGGGACAACCCCACACCCGTTTTGCCTGCTTGGCCTCACGCAGAACAATCTGAGTGGATGCCCATTGATTTGGCACACCAGCAATCCTCTCTAATCCACATGTGAGGTGGGCCACTGTTAGGCTTTTATATAAGCTGAAGATTCAGGGTGGCAAAAAGCAACCTACTGTTTTGTATCTCAGGCGATTGATTCCTACTTTAAATGTTCCTTTGCACACAAAATTCCATGCATATGGAAAAGTGCAGCAGCAGCGTTCTACCCTCTCTATCTTTGCTTGCTGTACTAACTTGATATTTTCAGGAGAGCTTTTATCGGAGAGAAGCATACTAGGAGGATCCTGGAGGCGCCATGATCCTCCAGCTGCAGTCTGAAAGGGGACAGTCTGTTCTTTCACCTCAGCATTCCCCCCCACCCCCCCGATTCTCTTCTGCATGTATAAACAAGGCCTCGGTCTAAATGGACTAGCAGGGTCACAACAGCAGTGAAGGCTCCGATACCCTGCATAATCAGAAGTAGCTCTTTATTGTGGCTCTTCTCTGTTTTTCTGCACTCGTGTTGCTGTTAGGAACAGTAACGACACTGCTCTGCTTGTACTGACAGTCTTGTGTCTCTTTCATTGACAGTGGTCTGGTGTTTAAATTTGGTCGCACTGAAGATTTGTGGCAGTAAGTGATGGAGTGTTTGTTTATCTATTTTTAATTGCCCACTCCCATTTTATAAAAAGCTTGTGTTCTGGTGACCAGTGAAGATGAAAACTGCCTGTACTTTAAAAATCATGAAAAGCATTTACCTATTTTTCCCCTCTCTTTAAAGCAGCTTTCTATTCTTTCCAATATTGTAGCATGTGATTAAAATGTAAAACTGAGAATGAAAGGGTAATATTGTGAATCCCTTTCACTTTTTTAAATAAATTAATACCAGACAACATAGCCTGATTCTGTATGTGATGTGTTTTCAGAGTATAATTTCTATTTTTTAATATGCAAAGTCTCACAGATGAGAGTGTTTGTCTTGCCAACATCACATTTTTCACACTGTATTGGTGAGGGGGACACAACCTTAGAACCTCGGGGGGGGGGTCAGATTGAAGGTCAGTACTGCCAGTACTCCTTGTAAATGGGCAACCACAGGGTAAGGTATGTTTTAGGGCATGCCAAGCTCATGGTGAGAGCTGTAGTAATTAGGGATGGGCATGAACCTAAAAAGAGTGGCCCATGAACCGAACCCCAAACCAAGCCAAAAGGGTCCCCCCTGAACTGAGCTGGTCCAGCAAGTTCAGTTCCTCCTTTCTCCAGGTTGCAGCTTGCCGGGGCCAGGAAAAGGGGGGGGGATCGCCCAGGAAAGAACTTCCTTTCCCCCTTTCTCCTGGCCACAGCTTGCCACAGCCGGGAGGGTTAAATGGCTGCAAGCCATTTAAACCTAACCACTGAGCAGGTCCGCCGCTCAGCTGACTGGCAGACCCACTCCGCCCATTAGGTTTAAATAATTGCAAGCCATTAACCCCTTTGGTTTCACTCCCCTTTGAAGGGGGGGGGACAAAACCGAAGGGTTACATGGCTGCCAGCCAGCCATTTAAACCTAACAGCTGACCAGCATACCCCATGCTGCTCAGCTGTTAGGTTTAAATGGCTGGCACCGAACTGAACCAGCCAAAAGTCCGGTAAATGTTCAGGGAAGGTGCCTTCCCCAAATATCAGTTCCTGAGCTCCAAACTGGCCCATGCTCAACCTGAATATTGGTTTGTGAGCCGGTTCGTGCCCATCCCTAGTAGTCATACACAGCATGAAATATAAACTTGTATGTGTGTGAAATTGAAGTTCAGAATGCTGACTCTGCAGCCCCAGCAGCCCTTCATCAAAATCCTGTCTTCAAAGATGTCCTAATGAAGTGTTAATATGAATGGTAGCATTCTTAAGGAGCAGTGAAACTAGAGTAGTTAGAACGTCTGTCTAGGATCTGGCACAGTTTCAAATCCTCACTCTGCCACTGAAGTTTTCTAGGTGACTTTGTCCCAATCACACACTGTGAGCCAAACCTACCTTGCAGAGTGGTTGTAAGGATAAAAATGAACAAAGAGAGAATGTTGTAACCCAGTTTGGGTCCCCATTGGGGAGAAAAGAGGAATATAAATAATGTAGTTCATTTAGCATTGCAAACAAATATTTAATGAGAAAAGTTTAACACAGAAGTGCTAGAGGTTTCAAAAGAAGCAGCTGTTAAGTCTCATAATGATATTCCACACAGTCTCACAGTAACAGAAAGTTACTCTCTCCAGCGTCTGGTTTGCAGCAGTTTGGATGTCTGTATTCAGTATCCTATGGCTAAGTGCGGGAACTGGAAATGAAAGAATATTGGTGAGATGAGAGAACCTATGGTGGGGGTAAATATCTTTAACTTCATAGCCATGTTCAACACTTTAAAACTCTCAGTCTTTATAGACCTTCACTGTTCATACCACATTCTTAAGCATTCCATCTTGATATGAACAGGACTATTATTAAAGGTCTTGTGATCTAAGTGATGGAGACAAACATAGTTCTTGTGTGTTTGTTCCATTAATGTGGCAATCTGAAGAATTTGTGATTTTCAGGTGGAGAATCTTAGCCCCCTCCCCTGGCGCCTATATCACACTTTGCATAATCAAAAATGCAATTCAGTCCCTACCCATCCTTGTATCAAGTCTGCAAGGGATGTCTTCCATTTTAACGAGGAAGAGCAACAGTCAATAGTGGAGACTTTGCTAATGCAATCCCGGTGAATTCATGGCTGAGTCAAACCTTCAATTTAAGCTGCCTAATTCCAAGCCTTCAGTACTCATACAGTCTTAGTGTATGATTTTTTCATATTTCAAATCAGCTTAGTGGGTTTTTATAACTGATTAATGTAGCTCAATCCTTAGCATGTTTACTGAGAAATAAGACCCACTGGATTCAGTGGGGCTTGCCTTCAGATGGGTATACGTAGGACTGCAGTCTCAAAACTGATTTTGGAGCAGCCTTTGTTACCTGGCCTATGGATAAAGGGAGGGAGATTTTCCAAAGTTACCCATGTCACCATGTTTCAAATAGCCCCCCCAAGAGTTAATCAATGTAGAACACACCCAAAATACACAGATCTTGTCTGTACAATAACATTGATAGGTATTAAAAGAATAAAAGTTTTCCTGAGTAGATCTTCAGAAGCAGCTAAGTGGTTTAGACAGAGGCTGTGATAAACCAAAGAGGTTAAGAACACAATAAAAGGGGGAAAACAGACTCAGGGCTCTTTTTGTAGCAGGAACTCCTTTGCATATTAGGCGACACACCCCTAATGTAGCCAATCCTCCAAGAGCTTACAGAGCTCTTCTTCCAGGGGCTACTGTAAACTCTTGGAGGATTGGCTACATTAGGGGTGTGTCGCCTAATATGCAAAGGAGTTCCTGCTACAAAAGAGCCCAAGTAACATGGCGCAATATACAGATGAACTGCACTTATGTCTGTTTCAAACTACTTTAGCTATATGGCCTCCCCCTGCAAAGGAAACCCCGGGGTTTGTCATTTGATAATAATTCTTTGCCAGAGATAGCAAAACTCTGCCATTCCTAACAACATGGGTAGGCATGTTAGCTTGCAGTAGAAGAGTAAGATTCAAATCCAGTAGCACCTTAAAAACCAACAAGATTTCCAGGGTATAAGCTTTCAACAGTCAGAGCTCCCTTTGTAAAGATACAGTATCTTACAAGGGAGCTATAACTCCAGAACCATCTGGAGACCATCTTGTTAAACTGAGTATAATTTTATTAACTGTCATGATTGTTTTATTGCTTTTATCTGTTTTATATGGGCTTTGCCCCTTGTAAGCCGCCCTGAGCCCGCTCTGCGGGGAGGGCGGGGTATAAATCTTAATAAATAAATAAATATCCTGGAAATGTTGTGGGTCTTTAACATGCTACTGGACACAAATCTTTCTTTGCCATTCCTGAAAGTCCCTTCAAAGAGGGAATGTCTCTTAAATCAGTTTAGTCTATATTGAAAAATGCCCGTTTCCCTCTCATCTAGGTCCATAAGCTCCTTTCTCCCCCTTGGACTGCATTTCTTTGCTACCCCCAAGAGTATGGTGGTTGGCCGATAGTGCCTGTTTCCTGGAGGTATCCACCCTGAATTTGCAGGAAAGGCTGTGGATTGAAATGGTAGCTTGTGCTTCCTGAGCTGCACAATGCTACAAAGCTAGCATGCAGTCCAATCTTACCTCCCAATAAGCTTGATCGTCGAAGTACTTCGTTACATGGGATGCTTTCCATAATTTAGAAACTAACAAGAAACCTGGGTTTAAAAGAAAATATTTTGGGGAGGAAATGCAAGCAGTTTACACAAATAGCTTTAATTATATTGGAACACTTAACCGTTTGTTTTTTAGAAAAAGACCATTTTGCTTCAATACTCAAATAACTTCAGTAATACTTACAGAGGCCTGAAATTCTGAAAATCATAGTTGATAGTAAGGCCTTATTAAGACATATTAGCTTCCTGCAGTCATCTGGTTTAACCATCATGTGGTTACGGATTGACTGCAGACCAGGATGTAAAGCCATGAGTAGAAGAGGGCTAGGCTTTCTTAGCTTAGGGTATCTTCCCAGACACTCATATTGCTCTGAGCTTCCCTTACTTACGGGGTCCATCAGCCAAAGCCATAAGTAAGACAGTTTTCCAGTTTCTCTGCTTTTTTGGGTGATGAGAGGGTTTTGATAGTGTCTCCAGGGGCTTAACTTGGCAATTTAAAGCATAGGTTCTCTGTACACCAGGGGAGGGGAAGGGCACTAATCATGACTAGGTGTTAATAGTTGCCTGGGGCTGCTGAAAAATCCATGGAATCTACTTTCTCTACAGCTTGTCTTTGGTTGACCTTATCAAAGCCAATCGTTCTCCTTCATCACCAATATACCAATGGTTTCCACCTAAATCTCTCTATTATGGACTCCACACACACACCCGTCCAGTCCTACATCTTCAATTGCTTGTTTGTACTCCACGGAAAATCAGGATGATACAAACCTGTAACAAGACCAGCTACAAGACTTAGGACAATGCTCAGAGAGAGGGCACCAAGTTCCATCAAAGCCATGTAACCCCAGCTGCAAATTTAGAAAAACAAAAGTTCACAGACCAGCAAAGTGTAAATAATTTGTTGCTGTTCCAAAATGGGGAGGAGATGTGACTCCGGGGCCTTGCATGTGAGATGCTAGATTTGGCCGGGCCTGCGGGAACATCAGTGCTGGATTTACGCATAAGCTAAATAAGCTACAGCTTAGGGCCTCGCAATCTGCTGGGGCCTCGAATAAAAACACAATATAAAAAATGATTTCAAATATTAAAAAGGCGTATATATTTTAAATTTTTCTGAGACCAGCTGATGTGATTTAAAACAGTAGGGGGCCTCTGGGTTTTGTATAGCTCTTAGGGCCTCAGCAAGTCTAAATCCGGCCCAGGGAAACGTATTGGGGTTCAACTTACTGAGACTGGTTGCTGGATCCCCAGTGGTCTGCTAAGGTAAGAATGATGTGGGCTATCCCACCAAACAAGCTGGGCAAGCCAAATGTGGTATGGACTCCGCAGGTATCATGGATCCTCAGAGAAGTATTCAAGCATTTCTGGAGTTGGAAGGGACATTTTAAAGAGACAGAAAAAAAAGACACTGAATTACATGTTTAAATTGCAGGTCAAAGACGATCTGTTTAATGGGACCTGGTCTGCTGGAAACAGGAATGTGTGTATACCACACAGATGCAGAATTATAGAGACATTTGGGAGCAAAATATGCTTTCCAGACAGCCTCAGCTTTAATTTTTAAGGACCTTTTTCTAGCCCTTATTGCCACAAGCAGGGGTCATTTCCTGCAGGAGCGCACAGGAGCGGAGCTCCGGCAGTAAAGAGCCCAGGAGGCGGGCACTGCAACAAGCCCCACCCCCTGCTCCCAGCAGCCCTCAGTCAGAGCAAGAAGCAGCCAGGTAAGTTGCAGAGCTCCCCCCAGCCCCCCGGTCCAAAATAGTCCAGTGGCACCTTTAAGACCAAGTTTTATTCAGGTACAAGCTCTCCCTCCTCTGCAAGGACAGATATGCACGTTCCTTCCTCCCCCCCCCCAATAGCTAGCAATTCAAAACAGTCCAGTGGAGCCTGAGTGGTGGGTGTTGCCTCCTGACACACTTCTGGTGATGTCAGGGGGTGTGGCATATGCAAATAAGTTATGCTAATGAGCTCCTGCACCTCTTTTTCTACGAAATGACCCCTGGCCACAAGTATATGCTTAAAAGTATGTAGGCGATTGGTTTCTGAGCATTAAGCAGGTAGAGAGACAAGACTTCGGAAGAGGGGGAGTATGTGTTCTCTGCATAACTCCCATTCTTCATCCCAAATAACTAGTAGAACGACAACAAATTTTTCAAAATGGTCAAAATTGCCACGTACGTCCTGTAAAATTTAACAATACCATTTGAATTATGCTTAATGGCCTGCTTTTGCTGTAACAGGAATGGCAAAGAGAAAGCCTGAACACTCCTTAGTGTAGCCCAGAGGTCAGTCCCGCAGTCTGAATGTGGCACTCAGGTCCTAAAAGGGAACTAGGCCAAAAAGGACCTCTTCAGCTGACACTTTGTTTCCAGGAAGATTCTGGTGGCAGGAGTGGGGAGAAAGTGTCAAGGCAGAAGAACACTGACACTAGATTCAACAAAACAAGGGGGGAAGGGTGGGGTGGGGTGGGGTGGTCCCGTCCCCATTGAAGAGCAACTGAGCCTTTTAAGTACACCTTCCAGGAGAGAAGTCAACCCCACCTCTGGAATAGACTGCTGGCACTTAAGGAGCCCCACCTGTTCATGGAACGAGCTCCCGGAAGACCTCAGGGCCCTGCGGGACCTTTTACAGTTCTGCAGGGCCTGCAAGACGGAGCTCTTCCACCAGGCCTTTAGTTAAGGAACCGCACCCAATACATCAAGGCTCTGTGCCCAATACCACCACCGACAGCCTGAGCTTTGCCAACTTTAAACTCAGTTATCGACTGCATTTACCAGTATGTTGATGCTACCCTGCTTTCGCCATCACCACTTAAATGGTTGTTTTAAAACTTTTAAGCTATTATTTATACTGTTGTTTTAGCTGCTGCATTTTATGTAAGCTGCCCTGAGCCTGCTCCGGCGGGGAGGGCGGAGTATAAAATAAATAAATAAAATAATAAATGGTAGCAAGCGCTCTGATGGGGCTGGAATGTCTCTGGGCCTCATGGGACCTGAGAAGTCATTTGAGGAGAGGTTTTAGGGTGGGAGTTCAGATGCTGTTGAGTTACCTCTGAGAGAAACATGGAATAGGGAATGTAGCTTTTGCATGATAGATAAGAAGTTACACTTAACGCAGGCAGCAGAGATAGTTTTCTAGAAGCTAAGATATAGAAATCATGGTTTTCTGCCCTGCTAGCATAGTGCTCAGCTTACATAGAACAAGGCAGTCGAACAGGAAATCTAGCCTACCCGAAACTAGACTACGGTTTATGTTGCTAAGAAATAGTTTAACAATAGGAGCTTTGTTTACAGCTTAAGCTTTAAGACAGGAAAATTCTAGCCGAAACTAGAAATTGCCATTTTGTTCAACCTGCATAGTGCAAAGCTTGTGGTAACACCTGGAACATGTTAGTGTGTGCTAACTGTCAGAGACCCTTTTAAGGGAATATGTAATTAAGAGGAATGGTCTCTTGAATTTAGGGCGGGCTCTTTTGTCAACAGGGGCGGAGATTCGTGTGACTTGTTTAGGCGCTCAGAGTAGCTGTAAATTCTGGAGTCCCAGCCAATAGGATGCCAGAGGAGGGACTTTTCGGCTGGGTTGCAGGGATAAAATGCTTGCGTCTGATTGTTCTGCTTGAAGTCTTCTTGGTAAGGCACCTCCCAGGTCAAAGAACTGGCCCAGTCTCTTGGGATTCCTGGAAGTTGGAGGACACCTCTGGAGGGCCCCCCAATTTTGCCTTTGGGGATGGTTCCATTCCATTCTTCGTCAGTCTTTGCTTTCTCTGCCCAGTAAGGCAGAGCCAGTGCCCTGGTCTGTAACATATTGCCTCCTATCAGCAAAAGAATCCAGGAATCTAGTGCTCGTAGTTCCTACGTTCCCTGAACTGGACTGCTTGAACTTTGTGATAGGTTACCTGCAAAAAGACAGATCCCAGTATGGAGATGGACCCAGCCAGCAGGCCCAAAGTCATTGCGATCCAAGGCTGTTGGATGCTGGAAGCCGAAAAGCCAATAGCGACACCACCAGCCAGTGTAGCATTGTGGATTTGGGCCTTTGGAACAAACAGAAGAAGAAATACAAGTTGGCCGTCAACACTGTATGGTAGCCTACTGATGTATAGACATTAGCTGGTGCAGCTTTTTGTGGCAGGGAGATCAGCAGTGGCCCAGCTTACAAGCTTCAGTAACCCCCGTTAGAACCTCTTAGCTGTGTCCAATGTTCCCTCTAAGCATAGGCGTAATCTTCGTGGGGGCGGCGGGGCTTCAGCCCCCGCCGAAATTTTCAGGAAAGTGCTCAGCCTCCCCCGGGAGCCACCCTTGCTCCTAGCAAAGCAATGCCTCTGGCCCAGCCCCAGCCCCCCCCGGGAAATTGGAAAGTCTACACCCTTGCCTCTAAGCTGTGGAGTCTTGTGAGCAAACGTTCTACTCTGTGAGCTACTGGCATTAAACTTGTGAGTGAGCCATTTGGCTGCTGCATAAATGAGTTTGCTCTGGAGCCATCCTTCCTGAGCTAAGAGGAAAATGTGTAAGCTGGAGGCTAATAAATTGTGAGCTAGCTCACACTAACTCAGCTTAGAGGGAACACTGCAGGGCCAGCTCTGGGTTGGGAAATTCCTGGAGATTTGGGGGTGGAGTTGAGGGAAGGAAGGTTTTGGGGAGGGCAGGAACTTAGTGGTGTATCATACCATAGCATCCATCTCCAAAGCAGCCATTTTCTCCAGGGGAACTAATATCTGTTGTCTGGAGATCAATTATAATTCTGGGAGATCTCCAGGCCCCATCTAGAGGTTGGCAACCCTCTTGAACACAGGTAGCTGAGCCCAGGTTAGGAGCCTCTGAGGAATTGCTTCATGGGGGTGGGTTTGGGGATACACTACTGGGACATTCCCCTGACTCCAACTCAAATCTCTACACACACACACACACACACACACAAATTCTATAAACTTTCAGGGGCTTAAGCGGCCAATGGCCCTGACCAGTGTTCCCTCTAAGCTGAGTTAGTGTGAGCTAGCTCACAGTTTTTTAGCCTCCAGCTCACACATTTTTGTCTTAGCTCAGGGAGGATGGCTCTAGAGCAAGCTAATTTATGCAGCAGCCAAATCGCTCTCACAACTTTAATGCCAGGTGCTCACAAAGTAGAGTGTTTGCTCACAAGACTCCAGAGCTTAGAGGGAGCATTGGCCCTGACACAAATTAATTGCAGGTGCAATGTGTGCACAATTTATATTTTTGCAGACCGATGGACTCTCTTGCACCTGTTTTGTTCCTGGCTCTCACCCGCTGTCAGCATTGTGCACCTCCTGGGACATGCTCAGTCTTCACACAACTTTATTTTAGGAGTGGATTCTCTTTTTTAGTTAACTTACGAAGATGTATTTTTCAACATATCTGGAGGGAGTTCCCCAAGTACATAGATACTTCTTCCTTGTCTGTGTACATGGCCCACACATTTACTATTAGATACTCTCCACAGGTACACCAAGGGTTCCCAACACTGCCTTGGCAAATAGCAGGAGATATAGGGGGGCAGTGCTTGTGGAGGGTAGAGGTTGGGGACAATGTGATGTCATTTCCGGGTGGCAACCTAGGCTGCCTCCCCTAGCCTCTATGATATTCACCCCCTAGAGAGTCACTGTGTGGAGGCCATCCCCCCCCCTACTCCTCAATTCCTCAAGGGCAGGAAATTGAGATTGAGATGGCCCCAACCCAGGCAGGTAAATGGGAGGACTAAATATGCCTTAAAATGTAATGTGAAGCATTTTAAAAGCAAGCATCTTCCTTCTGAAGCGTTTTCACTCACCATGCTGAACTTTCCATCTTTGTTGGTAGCCACCGAAAGCGCAAAGGCAGCAACAGTGCTTGAAGCGATTGCAAAATAGGTGTTGTAGATGGTGACACTTTTGTGCCCCACATCAATCAGGACTGAATTGAAGCTGGGCCAGAACATCCAGAGAAAGAGAGTACCTGGAGAGATCCCCCACCCCAAGATGAATGGTGATCATTAGTGCCCTTGCAAGCCTTCAAACTATTCAAAGTCTTCCTTCACTTAGATAACCCACTGTGCGCAGCCTTCAAACTATTCAAAGTCTTCCTTCGGCAGCACTCTTCACTTAGATAACCCACTGTGCACAAAGTCATCATCATGGATCAGCCACCAAGAAGCTGCCGTTCCCATGCTAAAATCCTGCACCCTGAAACTCCATTAACTGTGCAAGCAAATTCACTTTTGTAACGTAGCAGTCTGAATGCTAGGCTAGGATGTGGGAGACCCTGCTTACTGTGAAACCTTAGACCCATCATTCTCTCTCTGCTTAATCTACCTCACAAGGTTGTTTTGAGAACAAAATAAAGTTAGGGAAAACATGGATAAGACTCAGAGATCCTCATAGGAAGTGCAGGCTAAAAAAACATTGAAAGATGTTTGTTGCAAAATTTGTTGCTGGCTGTGGGTGTGTAGGTGTGTGTTAGCGTTGCACTCTCCAAATCTGTAGAAGATGTAGTATAGCCAATACTTCAGATGATATTGTCTAAAGCTCTTTTATTTAAGAGTGACAGGCTGGTCAAGAACAAAGCCACAAAGTGCTGGAGTATGACTCCTCACAACCCCAGGGTAACGTGCTAACACCAGTCTTCTTAACTAACCCATCAGCCAGAGACGAAGGGACAGAGTCTCTAGCCCTCCCAAGTCTAAGATCAAAAAGTCAGCCCTGCAAGGTGGGATGCTTGCAAGTTCCAAAATTAATTACTTGGGTAGTTGTAGCCAATAGGGCCAAAGCATTGGATTCAGACTGAAGCCCCAAAACCCAAAGGGTTATGCAGAGTTATACAATATAAGAGCACTGAACAGGAAGGAGACAGTAATAAAAGCTAAATATCGAAACGAAGCACTTTTACAAGCCTTGGTTCTCTACGTCCAGATGTTACCTGATCAACAAAGTTTCAAAGTCCAAGGCAGGTGTTCTGGGCAGCAAGGTCCACCTGGTCTAGAATCAAGAAGTGACTCAAAGGCAGATGTAATCCAGACAAAGGGCACAGAACAGAATGAAAGATCTTTTTTTATGCCAAATACCCTAAATTGGCATGATTCTAGTTGACCGATCAAATGTGTTGCTAAACGGATAACCTTAACCAATCAAGCATGTTGCTAACAGGGGTCCTAGCCAATCAGGTGTGTTGCCAGCATGAGACCATGTACTCTGCAGCTGTACAGGGCCCAATTAAGCAAGGCATCTTTTTCAGTATGACTCCTCACAACCCCAGGGTAACATGCTAACACCAGTTAGGCGAAACTCCCTCCCCAGGTTCTTGGCCTTGAAACCTCTAGGCCCAATGACTTCACCATGGGGTTGCCAGCTCTGGGGTTGGGAAATACCTGGAGATTTTGGGGGTGCAGCCAGAGGAGTGCAGGGTTTGGGGAGGCGAGGGACATCAATGGGGTATAATGCCATAGAGTCCACCTTCCAAAGCAGCCATCTTCTCCAGGTGAACTGATCTCTGTCACCTGGAGATTAGTTGTAATCCCAGGAGATCTCCAGCTACCACCTGGAGGTTGGCAGCCCTACTTCACTGGCACCTGTGTCTGTTCCCATCTCTCCTTATCTTATTCTCTGAAACTGTAGGCTGCATGACCTCATGTTCTCAGAGAGAGAAATTGGTATTATTTTTGTAGCTTTCATACCTGAGCTAATGTTTCTGAAAAGACAACAGGCTGGTAGGTAAAACAGTCTCTTGACAGATATTGGTAATGCAATGATAGAATTGCCAGCTTGGTTTTGTTTTGCAAAATGCATGGAGACACTCTGGGCTTGATCCAAAACCTCAGGCTGGATCCACAGATGACCTGTCTGCAGAAGGGCATCTTTAGATACAGCCCTGAGGTTTTCGATTCAAGCCACTGCACCCCACTACACCCTGGGGCTCCAATCCCTGAACAATACACATCAGTCATCCTATCCCTCTCAATGAATGGCATTTTGCTAGTCAAAAATCAGTATTAGTAGCCGGCTGAATTTGGCAGAGCAAGAACATTAGTATGATTCGTCCAGCTTGTTTGGGGGGGGGGCTTTCTTGACAAACAAAAAAAGCCCCAGTCCATCTTCAGATTTGTCTTTGGTCCAGGATGAACAGGATTGAGAATACACTCTTCTCAGGGCATGGGTCACACAACAGACTTCATTATTCCAAACCAGGGCCGGCTCGCTCACTAGGCGAACTAGGCGTTTGCCTAGAGTGCCCTGGCCCTTAGGGGCACCAAACTGCACCCACTCCCCGCCAAAAGCACCCCTGCTGGCTCTGACGGGGGGCGCATGGGGGGGTGCCAGAAGGAATCCTCGCCTAGGGTGCAAAATATGCTGGGGCCGGAGCTGTTCCAAACTGAGGTGGAGATTGTATAATCCTGGCTCCCTGCTCTCTATTCCTGCATAACAGATAGGAGGCACTGCTTTGCTGACCAGGCAAAACTTCACAGGGCTCAGTGGGGTGCAGTGGGAGGGAGGGCAGAATCAGTGGAAATAGCTACCTCCCCTCACCATCAAATGCATTAAATAGAGTTGCCAACTCTGGTTTGGGAAATTACTGGCAACTGGGGAGGGGTGTCTTGAGGACAGAGTCTCAGGAGAAGGAGCTCATCAGGAACCTGATGGTGGCAGTCTAGGACTTCTGTTTCTCCTAGATTCCACAGTATACCATACAGCCTGCCCTCCGAAACTGCCATTTCCTCTGGGGAAATTGGTCTCTGTCACTGGGACATTACTCGTAAATTCTGAGGGCATTCTAAGCCCCACCTTGAGCCTGGAAAGCCTAGGGTGGATACAGGCGAGGATCCTATTATTTGCATGGATCCCTGTTCATTCTCTCTTCCCCATGTTTCCCTTGGTCTTGTGTGGTTTTCCCACATGCCAGAGGTGAGCCAGGCCTCTCTCTACACACACACAGATAGTGCCTCAGTGTCACCCAACAGCAACATGCATCAAGGGAGTGTGTAACTATATCTTCCTCAGCAATATTACCCTTGCAAAGAAACCACAGGTATCAATGGCTTGTAATTTATTGCAGACATGTGAGGTAAGCAGGACTCTGGCCAGAAGAGCCTGCGCAAAGAGCAAACCACTCTGCTGTTGCTCCTGGAAACACTCCTGATACTCTTCTTCCTTCCTTTGTCCTTCTGCCCTGATGGAGGGTCAGGCTAGATATGCACAAGGGGCCCATTTGGATCAGGAACTGAGGGTGGAGCGGGGAAGAAAGAGTCTGAGGAGGAAAACTAATAACAGCGCCTGGGGGTTATTTTAACTGACATCACCACACAGAGGAAAAGGGTTTATTTATTTAGATATTCACACCTGGTCCCCCTCCCAGACAGCTGACAACATTGTTCTCCCCTTCTTCACTTTATCTGTGCATCAACAACCCTGTGAGGTAGGTTAGCCTGGAAGTGTATGACTGGCCCAAGGTCATCCAATGAGTTTCCATGGCAGGATTCACAGCTGTATCTCCCTTATTCTAGTCTGACACACCAACTGCTACACCACACTGGCTCTCTGAGCTAAGCCAGTTCTTCCTCTCCACTCCCCAACATGCCTCTAGTCTGATGAATCACTCTCCGTCCGCATACTTTTCAACCACACAGAGGAAAAGGGTTTATTTATGTAGATATTCACACAGCTGACAACATTGTTCTCCCCTTCTTCACTTTATCTGTGCATCAACAACCCTGTGAGGTAGGTTAGCCTGGAAGTGTATGACTGGCCCAAGGTCATCCAATGAGTTTCCATGGTAGGATTCACAGCTGTATCTCCCTTATTCTAGTCTGACACGCCAACTGCTACACCACACTGGCTCTCTGAGCTAAGCCAATTCTTCCTCTCCACTCCCCAACATGCCTCTAGTCTGAACAAGGGCCACCTGTGCCTTCTCTTTAGCATTTTAAACACACACGCAGGGGTCATTTTGGGGGGGGACGCGGGGGGACGCCATCCCCCCGGGTGAGGTGCGGAAGGGAGGGGCCTGGAGCTCCCTGCTGGTGCCTGCTGGAGGTCGCCGCCGGCTGTGGGGAGGACACACTTCCGGGGATGTCAGGGGGTGTGGCATATGCTAATGAGTTATGCTAATGAGTCCCCCTAGCTCTTTTTCTACGAAATGACCCCTGCACACACTAGAAGGAATCAAACCATGAATCTCTCTTCTCCTTGCTTTTTTTAAAAAACCACTTCCAGATGAGTACATCTGGGCTGTTTTGTTCCTCTGGTCCATCACACCATGGCATGCCCCAGGCATGAACCAAAGTTAACATCACTTTCGGTTGCAAACTCTTGACAGTTAGCAAGCTGGTACAGAAAACAACAGGGAATCATGATGTGATCCTAGGCAGAGTTACCCCTTTCTAATCCCTTTGACTTCAGTGGACTTTGAAGGGTATGACTGTCTTTAGACTGGCACCGTGAATGGCCTCTTGGGGTTGGATCCTGTGGATCTGTTCCAATAATGGCAGCATTCCCCCCCCAATACACACACTGCCCAAGGAACCTTCCTCTGGCACAAGAAGCCAGAGTTACAGAAGGGGTTCTTGCCCTGGGGCAAAGTATCACCGATGCAGAATGGATCCACAAGATTCATTCCTTGGTTTCTTATTTATTTATTTACTCAATTTCTGGGATGCTTTTACAATCAAAGCAGTTTAAAAGAATGTGAAAATATAAAAAAAAACAACATTAAGAACCATCAATACCAACCGATCCTAGAAAAAATATTCCCAGTGGCTGTCAGGTTCTGCCCTGATCCCACTTTGACCTGGATGGAGGACTCCTTGGAGGAAGAGGAAGACTCCTCAAGGGGCAGGTCTGAGAAGCTTCCCAAACACCCAGGGCTCTCTGTACCGCAAGAGCCTCCATGGAGGACCCCAAGAGCCTTCACTACCGCAGCAGGCTCCCACTCAGGAGTCAGTGGGACAAGCAGCCCAGGAACCTCAAGTGGACCATCCATCTCCAGCATCCCCAAAGTCTCCCCCAGGACTCATCGAATAGGAGGAGAGCCAGAGCCAGCACCTGGGCCCCAAACAGACACATGAAGCTACCTTATAAATGAATCAGACCATCAGTCCATCAAAGCCAATATTGTCTACTCAGACTGGCAGCTGCTGCCCAATAAAGTTTCCAACCTCCAGGTGGCACCTGGAGCTCTCCTGCTATTACAGTTGATCTCCAGACTACAGAGATCAGTTCCCCTGGAGAAAATGGCTGCTTGAGGGGGGTGGACTCTATGGCATGGTACCCTGCTGAGGTCCCTCTCATCCCCCAAACCAGGCTCCACCCTCAAAGTCTTCAGGTATTTCCCAACCCAGAGCTGGCAACCCTACTGTCCCAGGGTCTCAGGTGGAGGTCTCTCACATCACCAGCTACCTGATCCTTTCCACTGGATATGCCCAGGATTGAAACTGGGACCTTCTGCATGCAAAAGGGCTGCTCTGCCACTCTCTCCCCTGAGGTTTCCCCAGGGAAAAGAGCATGTGCCTAGCAGCAGAGGCCTCTCTCCAGTCTGCTACAGAAGAAGACCACCACGCCTCAGAACTTTGCAGGACTGGGGACCCAGATCCAGTTACAGGAAGGTGGGGAATTCTCGGCTCTCTATAAGAACTCTAGCCCCCGGTGGTTTTAATAGTTTTCCACCCTAGCTTGTGCTAACCCCTGAGCAGCTCTCCACAGGGAGGTTCCTGAACCAGCACTGAAGATCACCCCTGGCTTGGTGTGATTTTGACATGCTCAGCGATCAGAACAGCTTGGTAGTGAATGGGACAGAGAGTAACAGGATATCCTGGAAAGCTTAGAAACTGAAGCACCAAGAGTCAAGTATCCCCACAGTCGCTGTATCTTGGCAACTTGCATTCTGAGGTGTACTGCCTCTAAACAGGGAAGCTCCACTTAGGCATCCCGGCTAGATTTGACAAGGAGCATCCCTGGGGTGAGGAAAGAGCTCGCCTCTAAGAATTTCACTGCAGCTGAGTTGGAGGATGATAAGTTCCCCTTTTGTAATGTATCCAGTCCAGACAAGTCCAGAGACAAACGCAGAGCTTCGCTCCAAGAGACAATGGACTATGCGGATCCTAGCCCGCTCCAATCAGGGGGCTAGGTTCCCGGCCGAGAGCCTATGGGACTCTTGGCTACTGTAAATAACCTATAGGGAAGTAGGGGTGTGTTTTGGGTGGCGGTTTCTCGGGGAATATAAGCCGGCCTGCGAGCCGGCCAACGTCGTCTTGTTCCTGATCATATAAAGTACGCTTTGCTGAAATCGCTCTCCGTCTGCGTACTTTTCACCTTTAAAACCAGAAACAATGGAAAACAACCTAAATAACACAAACAAATAGTTGGAAGGGGTCATACATTTTAAGGAAATCAAAACGACGCATTACAAAAAGAAAACAGCTCCCCCCCCCCTCAAAAAAATTCTGTGGAACTTACCTAGCATTGCAAACAAACGAGAGACCGGCTTTGTGTTCTCCTTCTCCGCTTTCTGGCTCAGGGAGGGATGATACAGCCACCAGGCTATCATCAGCCCAAAGTAAGTTCCAAACACGTGGACGTACATCATGCTTAAGTGGTTTGGCACCTGCCATCAGTAGAGAAAGTCCTCATTTCATTCATCGCTAAGGACTGCCAACTCTGGGTTGGGAAATACCTGGGGATCTTGGGGGTGGAGTCTGGGGAGGGGAGGGACTCCGTGGAATAGAACACCTCACAGTCCACCAGGGCCCCCCCATCCCCTGCCTATGGCTGCGGGGGGGACCTGGCAACTCTAGTCCACCCACCAAAGCAGCCATTTTCTCCTGGGGAAATGAACTCTACGGTCTCAAAATCAGTCGTAATTCCAGGAGATCTCCAGGCCCCACCTTGCAGTTCAACAAACACACGGGGAAACACGGCAAGGTTGAGCAAACGTAGAAAAACACCGTGTTAGAACAAAAAACACAATACTATGATGCTACTATATCTTCCTATATTGATATAAATTATATACTTGAATACAGTAGAGACCCGAGTGTATCTTATTCATAATACTACAAAACCTAAAGAACATTATACATCTAGTAGAAAAGTCCACAGCACTGTTATTTTACAATCTGGTTTAGAATCCAAGCAATTAGTTTAATCATAGTTATGGGCAGGGGTCGTTTCGTAGAAAAAGAGCTAGGGGAACTCATTAGCATAACTCATTAGCATATGCCACACCCCCTGACATCACCGGAAGTGTGTCATAAGGCCACACCCCCTGACATCACCGGAAGTGTGTCATAAGGCCACACACCCCGCCCCGAACGGTCCCGGCCGCCGCCACCGGCCTTGCAGCTCCACTGCCGAGCCCCATGAGGGGCCTGGCGGTGGACCTGCAAGGCCGGCGGGAGTGCAAGGAAGCCCCGCGAAGGCCCTCCCTGGCCCCAGGCAGGCAGGGGTGGGGAGAGGCAGGGAGGAAGCAACTTACCCTCCCTCTTCTCCTGCCTCCTCCTGGTTGAATGAGGGCTAAAAGCAGGGCGGCCAGAAGCAGGGGGCGGGGCTTCGTCATGTGCCCCGCCCCCCGTACCTCACCCGAGGGAACTGCGATCCCCCGCATTCCCCCCCGAAATGATCTCTGGTTATGGGTGTTAACTCTGAGAGATGTTCTAAGTACTGTTCCTTTCATTCTTTTGGGATCATCACGTCAGCTGTGCTTTATTAGAGTGGTCTTTCTGGGTGTTCCTATGGAGAACCGGAGAAGCCCTCTGTGGGATTGTTGACTTGTGCATTGTAGCATTGTGAGCTTTGGGTGAGTACAGCAAGCCAGCTCTCTTTTTACCTGGTTACTGTGTAATAATAGTATATTGTGTTAGTAATTTAGTTCCAGGAAAAATAATTTTGCCTAAAGAAGACTCTCTCGAAACACACAATTTTTGCCTAGGAGGCATGTCGCTTTGATGCTTGCTATATCTCTTTTTGGAAAGCATAACAGCCTGCTGCATCTTTCATCACTGACGACTGCTGCATCTCTCATCAGAAGCAAGATAGTCTACAGCACTGAAACCTGTCTTTGAAGCTGTGGACTTTTCTACTAGATATATAATGTTCTTTAGGTTTTGTAATATTATGAATAAGATACGCTAGGGCAGTGGTGGCGAACCTATGGCACGGGTGCCAGAGGTGGCACTCAAAGCCCTCTCTGTAGGCACGCGTGCCATCGCCCCAGCCTGGCCCAGACCATCATTAAAGTGTCGAATTCTCTGCCAAATAAGTAAATGAAAGCATTTGGGATTGCTTTCCTTACTTTGTTTGGATCATCTTAAGTGAATGTATGAGTTGTTTTTCCTAAAGTAAAACCTCAGTATTCAGGTTAAATTGCCGTGTTGGCACTTTGCGATAAATAAGTGGGTTTTGGATCGCAGTTTGGGCACTCGGTCTCTAAAAGGTTCGCCATCACTGCACTAGGGTCTCTACTGTATTAAAGTATATTATTTATATCAATATATGAAGATATAGTAGCATAATAGTATTGTGTTTTTTGTTCTAACAAGGTGTTTTTCTACGTTTGACCCACCTGGAAGCTGGCAGCCCTATTCATAGCCAGGACTGGAGATAGAGTGAATGAATGGGGGAAGAGAATACCTCTGGTAGTAATTATAGGAGAGGTAATTAACTCATCCCTCACACTCTCTGCTTGATTCCTGCAACCCCCTCCATGTCCATTGTTCATGTACTGAAGTTATCCCCTAAGTGTCCCCTACCCTTGCCCCACCATTCCCAGCATCTCAGGACCAAAGCCAGCACATGAAAACAAGCATGGCCGGAAGAAAGGTTCACCTTTCTTTGCCTGCTTGAGTCTGTTTTCTATTTGCAGAGAGTTTATCACTGAACAGAATTTTGCAATATGGTCCTCCAATTGTGCTCATTGACACAACAGTCAATTTCCCACTGGGAACTCAATTCCCAGATGTACAGCACCTGATTTGGATTGGTGTCATGTAGGACTGCCAGACCCCCCCCTGCCCCCCGCCCGGGGGCAGGGGGAACTTCCTAACTGGTGGAGGGACTTACTGGTGGCAGGGGGAGGCCTAGGCCAGTGATGCAGTGGTATCTCTTCTGGTACACACTTAAGTGATGTCAGCATGTCGCCAGCAACATGGGATGGAATACTCTGGTATTTGGGCAAAACTCTAAGCCTCCCCCAGGCTGTTTTTTTATCATGAAAACAGTGGGGCAGAGGCATAAGCACCCTCTCTGTATGCACTGTGGTACCAATCCAAATTTGTCCCATGGATGCCTGAGATCTGAGTTCCCAGTGCAGAACACCAGGAACACGTTTGATTGTGTTCAGGGAAAGTATAATGTGATGTTAAGTCCCAAGAATGGCCCTTTCTAAACTAACAGGTTACTCTGGAGAATCCGAGCAGTCGAACCTTTAAGGTTAACTTCATATTTTGGCCCTCTCTGCACCCATATTTTGCCTCGGTCTCTGAGCGCATCCTATTCTTCCATTCTGCATTCACTCCTGCTGTCACTTTCACTTTGTTTCTGGGCTTTCTCTTGCTCCTGCGTTTGTTTTTACGTGAATCGGCATTCAGACCGCTTCCAGCACACTTGTTGCCCCACAGCTGCCAAAAGTAGTTTTGCCGTGATTCTTTGTTCTCATCCACTGATAAATTGCTAATCCTTTCTAATGTAGAATTGTTTCTGTGGGTATTTAAGCACTGCCCACTACCCTCCAGTTTGATGTAGTGGTTAAGTGTACGGGCTCTAATCTGGGAGAACCGGGTTTGATTCCCCACTCCTCCATTTGCAGCTCCTGGATGACCTTGGGCAAGCCATAGTTCTGGCACAAGTCTTTGCCCCCTCCATCTCCTACCTGTTGTTAGTGAAGGGCTGGCAACCTTAATATTATGCCTCTCACCAAATGACCTTTTTTAAAGGACCAAATTCTGAGTTCCATGCGCAGATTTCCAGCATCCCATATAGGGTGGCCTGAGCTATACTGTCCTGCCAACACAACCTTGTTAGAGACCAAGGGAAAGTGAAAACAGAGCAGCCCAGCTTTCAGTACATAACTCCCCAGATGTAAAGTCCTCTAAAAGTTGAGGCTGAATCCCTTTTTGTCTATGGCATGTCTTTGTAGCAATGAGGGCTACCATACCTGCAGAATACCCACAGCAATCCATCGGTTAGTGGTAAAAATGGTCACCTCCATCATAGCCATGAAGATCAATTGGATTGGGTTGGCTTTCCCAAGCACAGCTCCAGCCGAAATCAACACTGTGGGGATGCTCATAATGGCTGTTAAGATGCTTTCAGGGAGAAGCAACAGGGAAAGAAAAAACAACAACATTGATTTGTAACCTGGAAGGGATTGTTTTGCAGGTCAGGCAGGAGAGAGAGAAAGGACTTGTCTTTCCAGCACTGTTTGACTCACTTTCTTCAACAAGCTGCCCTGTTTTCTGAGTTAAGTGCATCCCGCCTGGCTTGGTGCATGAGTTTTGTTCCCTCCTTGTCCTCTCCTCGGGTGGCACATTGTACCCCAGAGAACAAGGGTGAATCAGTTGGAGGCTGAAAGCAGACCAGGACATCATGTGTGGTTGCTGCCGAAAACAGAAGTCTGCTCCTCTTTCTCCCTTATCAGTGAAAACGAGGGAAATGTCATTGTTCTGTTTTGAATTGCCTCTCCCTTGATCCATGTCATTGGCTGCCAGTCATGGGGGGGGGGATCTGAAGTAAGCTGAAATCATGCAATTTGCCTTTCTGTTTGCTAAACACTGCAGATCTTGCTGTACTTCATTCCATTGCCTGTCTGTCCTTCACTTTCCCTATGTACTAATGTTTGCAGTTTCCACAGACTTATTATCTATTTATTTATGTAGATATTTCTACTTTGCTTTTCTCCCCAAAGGAGAGTCATCCTGTTACCCCAGCCTCACGGTTGGCCTCTTGTTTCTCTCCTTCAAGGACCTGTCCCCACATCTCCTTCCCTGGCCTGGTCAGTTTCAGCTCTAGATGCTGCTTCCTTGCTGCTGAGGACAACCCCTTCCCTTTTCTCCAAGAGCAGGCTGCTGTGTCTCTTTCCAGAGGTCGATTTGGGGGGGAATGCGGGGGAGGTGCAGGGAGACAGGGCACACGACGAAGCCCCGCCCCCTGCTTCCGGCCGCCCCGCTTCCGGCCCTCATTCAGCCAGGAGGAGGCAGGAGAAGAGGGAGGGTAAGTTACTTCCTCCCCGCCTCTCCCCACCCCTGCCTGCCTGGGGCTAGGGAGGGCCTTGGCGGGGCTTCCTCGCACTCCCGCCGGCCTTGCAGGTCCACCGCCAGGCCTTATGACACACTTCCGGTGATGTCAGAGGGTGTGGCATATGCTAATGAGTTATGCTAATGAGTTCCCCTAGCTCTTTTTCTACGAAACGACCCCTGCTCTTTCCTCCCCTTTTCCTTTTAATCCTCAGTAGGTAGGCAGTTTTACTAGAGAAAAGGTTTTGTGTTTTTCCTTTTTGTAATGTTATTTTTTGCTCTACCGCAGGGCTATTTTTGGGCAGGAACGCACAGGAACGGAGTTCCGGCTGGCTCCCGAGTTGGCCACACCCAGCAGGAACTCATTAGCATAATACGCCACACCCAACAGCAGAAACTCATTAGGACTGGCTACATTAGGGGTGTGTGGCCTAACATGCAAAGGAGTTCCTGCTACAAAAAAGCCCTCCGTTTTGACAACAAACAAGGTAAACAGAATAAGAAGCAAAAGGTGGGCGTGGCTGGATGACCACACTTCTGTGAACATGGGGTGTGTGGCCTAGTATGCTAATGAGCTGTGCTGTCAGGGGTGTGTCCTAATAAGCAAATGAATTTCTGCTGTTGGGTGTGGCCTATTATGCTAATGAGTTTCTGCTGGGCTTTTTCTACCAAAAAAGCCCTGCTCTACCGTATTGCTTATATCAATTTGTTTTTAAATAAAACCCTCTTCTGTACAAGAGTCTTCCCCCCCCCTTGTTTCCCCCCCAGTGTTGATCTGAATTTAGACCTTGGTATATGCAGGTTACGATCCCAGGCAGAAGTACTCAAAATAAATGTGTTTGTTCCATTCTAGCAATGGGACAACTTTGCACATTGCAGCTGTGATTCATGTAGACTTATTTGGGTAACACTCCCAATTTCTCCCCTGCTGGCGTTTGGAGTGCCAGCAAGGAGCAGGGGATATACCTGGTCACTCTAATACCTCTGCTTTCCTTTTGGCTCAAGTTTACGGCTTTCCTCCAATCTAAGGAGCCTTCCTCCAACTTAAGTAGTTCTTTCTCTAAAGTTAGAGGAAGATTTCTTAGGATGGAGGAAGACTACTTGGAGAATGACTGGAGGCACCCTAATCAGACATCTGCTCGCAGTTTTTACAAGGCACTCCCAACCACATCAACTACCTTTGAAGACTGATCTTCACTTTCCCATGTGAGAAATGAAACAGGAATCCGTCCATGATCACAGCCCACTGCACTCCCAGGGCAGTGAGAAGAAGGCCAAATCCAGTGCTGCTGAAGCTGTATCTTCTCAAGAAAGCCAGAAAGAAGCCGAAACCAAAACACACCATGACGCTGACATCTTGAAATGCTGTGTGGCAGAGATTAAAGTCATTTTGGATACAAGGTCGACGGGGCAGCATCAAGGGGCAACTTACTGCTAATACGAACAACTCTGTAGATGATGTTTGCTGTGGGCAATATCATACAGCACCCTTTGGATAAGGAAGGACATTTGCTCTAGTCCCACAGTACATGTCCCAGTGGGGTAGTTGCTGCACGCCCACCAGCTGGGGTTTATTAGGGGTCATCTCCTCCTTAATGTCCATCCTAAGATAGCCAACTTTGGGTCCAGAAATTCCTGGAGATTTCAGAGTAAAGTCTGGACTGGGGATGGTGGGGTTTAGATAGGAGAGGAACATTAGCAGGGTATAATGCCATACAGTCCACCCTGTAAAATATCTATTTTCTCCAGGATAACTGATTTCTGTGATCTGGAGATCAGTTGTAATTTCAGGAGATCTCTAGGCCTACATGGAGGCTGGCAACCTTCACCATCTTTTGATCAACAAAATGAAATAAGAGAGCTGAGCATTTTGGAGGTCTAAGTTGACTTAAGGTAAAGCAGCATGGGGTCTCTCCCTCTCCTCCTCTATCACTGGGAGTTTGGTGCCTACTGGGGAGTGCCTGTTTGTTTATGCTCAATATTTCAAGGGTACCATATACACCACTAATGCTCTCTCATCCAAATGAAGCTAAACTTGGTGACACTGCTCCCTGAAAAGTCTCAACATTCAGAAATAGAGATCATGATATATTATTTTACAAAATATGTATGCCAACTTTTTGCCCAATAAGTGCCACTGAGACAGCTAGCGATTAAGTGCAGTGATTAAGAGCACTGGACTAAGTCCTGGGAGACCTGGATTCGAATCCCCACTCTGCCATGCCAATCACAGGGTGACCTTGATCCAGTTGCTCTCCTATCTACCTCATATGGGGTTGTCATGAGGATAAAATGGTAATGGGAAGAGGTATATTCATAGCATTCTGAGCTCCTTGAAGGACAAAATGTACTAGGAGGAGGAGGAGATTGGATTTCTACCCCGCCCTTCACTACCCAAAGGTGTCTCAGAGCGGCTTACAAACTCCTTTCCCTTCCCCTCCCCACAACAGACACCCTGTGAAGTAGGTGGGGCTGAGAGAGCTCTTGACAGAAACTGCTCTTTTTCAAGAACAGCTCTTATCAGAATCACGGCTTGCCCAAGGTCATCCAGCCAGGTGCAAGTGGAGGGGTGGGGAATCAAACCCGGTTCTCCCAGATTAGAGTCCGCACACTTAACCACTACATCAAACAGAAAGAGTGGCTTGAAAATAAAAGGGGGCCTACTTCTTAGTCAGTGCAGTTAAGATCAAGCTGCAAATCTCACACTAGTGGGGACCAACTGCATGTGAGGAAACAAGAAACAGCAGGGGCATTGTATGAGCATCCTATGGGAACAGTGACCTTTGGCTACTAGGGGAACTGCTAGCCTCCCTACTCCAGGTCTTCCCTTGCGCACCACAGTTTGTTTTTCATGTTTTTATCCTTCCTATCTCCCCAAAGCAACTTACAGCACCATCCTCCCCTCTTCCACTTTATCCCCTCAACAACCCTGCAAGGTCGGTTATGGCAGAGAGAGAATGACTGCCCCAAGGTCACCCAGCAAACTCCCATAGCAGAGGGGGGGGGATTCAAGTTTGGGTCTTCCGGATCCTGGACTGACACTGTTAACCACCACAACATGCCTTTGCACCAGTTGCATGGCAAAGCCGGCCAAAGAGGCTTGGGAGATTTTGTGCAGAGCTGGTTTAAAAACCAGCACAGGGCAGATGTTCCAACTGCACCACTGATAAGCGGGCCATTATCACATCCAGCCAGTTCTGCTTTGGTGGAAGAGCTCCTTTGCAAACAAGCTGCAGAAGCCAGGTCAGTTCTAGGCAGCGCAATATTGCTGAAAATAATGTGGTGTTCCTTTCTTAGTAGGACATGGCAGGGAATGTGTTACTCGGGTCATCCAGGAGAAAAATGGCTAGGAAGGGAAGAATGGTGTTGTTCAAAATACTGTTAATTTAGCCCTGACCTGGATAGCCCAGGCAAGCCCGATCTCATCAGATTTCAGAAGCTGGCAAGTACTTGGATGGGAGACCTCCAGAGAACACCAGGGCTGGGAGGCAGAGGCAGGCTATCAAGCCACTTCTCTGAATGTCCTCCTTGCCCCAGTAGGAGTCACCAGAGGTCTCCATGACTTCCAGGCATGAGCACGTACACACAAAAATGCAAAAATGCAACAAAAAAAAAAACAACCCCAAACCCCACCCTATTAATTTAGATTCTCTGTTTTTATCTCCCCCTCCCCCTGTTTCTTTTATCCTAGAACTTGAGGCAGCCTCTGTGGGGTTCAGGGCTTTAAAAAGGTGGAAAAGAAACACTATAACTGCACTAGTGATAGTTGAGTATAGTTCACGCCCCTACAAGCTACCTGTTCGTTTTCCTTGTGTGTCTATGTGTGTACGTTTTGTTGCTTCAAGTTGCATCCCACATCATCTAGAAGTCAGGAGAGACTCTTGAGAACTAGGGATTTGTTGATACAAATGCACAAGACTTTTTTTGTTTTTGTGTTTCAGCTGCACATTTTGGAACTTCACGTTTTGTTCCCAGTTGCCCATTAAAAACAAACAAAAAAAAAACTGTCGGGTTCCCACCCAGGCATCAACCAGACCTAAACCTGCTTTGCTTCAGCAAAGAACTTGGGCCTTCTAACCCCGTGATGGGAAGCTATGCAGACTCACCGCAACCTTGGCACAGTTTAGTGGGATCCTAGGGATGCCAGCCTCCAGGTGGGACTTGGTGATCCCCTGGAATTACAGGTCATTTCCAGACTATAGAGATCAGATCCCTTGGAGAAAATGGATGCTTTGGAGGGTGGACTCTGTGGCATTGAACCCCACTGAGGTCCCTGTCTTCCCCAGGCTCCATCCCCAAGTCTCCAGGAGTTTCCCAACCTGGATCTGGGAATCCTATCTCCACATCCCTCGCCGGTGGCCATGGGGGACATGGCAACCCTAGGAAGAGTTACACCCTTCCAAATCTATTGAAATCAGTGCGCTTAGAAGAATGTAACTCTGCTTAGGATCGCATGGTGCATTTCCTCCCTGGTCCCCATCTATCTGTGAGGCTGCTGCCCTGAGCCATGCATGGGTGGCCCAATGCCTGATGTTGGTTCTCCAATGCTGTGAATGAGTTAAAGATTGCTCTACCCCACCAACACAGCTGGGGTGGAGGTAGGGGGGAAAGCAATAATAGCTTCGAACTGCCTGTTCTGTTCCTGCTGCCTGCTCAGTATAGCTTATTTGCTCATAGAACAACCCGAGGAGCTGTTATTTCCCCAGTGGGGAAACACTTCTTGATTTCCCCACTACTGAAAAATCCCTCAACAAGGCAGTCTTGGTGTTTGAATCCTACCAGCTTTCCCACTCAGATCTTGCCAAATTCTCCTCCTCACTGCAGCTCCTGTCCTATATAGCTTTTGTCCATGTGAGTCCTGTGATCTCCACCACAGCCTTCTGGGTGGCCAAATGGGGGGAGGGGGCTTTCTCCCTTTGTCACCATTAGAAAAGCTGATAGGTTCCAGCCCAATGTCTACATCATCTTTGTATAAGAATGGCACAATGGAAGATGTCAGTTGATCAATTATTTACCTACTACTTGAGGAATTAAAATTCAGTGACTGTGCATATAGCCAGCAACTCCCAATGGATGCCTTCTTGAGACACTGAAGGACTTGAGATAACTTCAAGATAATGACAAGCCAGAGTTCCCTATCATGAAAGTCCTCCGGCTTGTAGACTGATCCTCCATGAAATACTAGTACCCACCAGTGTTCCCTCTAAGCTGAGTTAGTGTGAGCTAGCTCACAGTTTTTTAGCCTCCAGCTCACACATCTTTGTCTTCGCTCAGGAAGGATGGCTCCAGAGCAAACTAATTTATGCAGTAGCCAAATTGCTCGCTCACAACGTTAATGCCAGTAGCTCACAAAGAAGAATTTTTGCTCACAGGACTCCCCAGTTTAGAGGGAACACTACCCACTAAAGCCTGAGCTGATTGACCTACATTTCCTGTTAATTAAACTGAATTAAACTACCAATTGAAGTTAATTGAGGCTGGGGCACCCATAAAAATGCATCTGCAGACTTACCTGGGTAGATATCAAGGTCTCTTTCACGGTCATACAAAACGAAAAAATAAAAAATGAGGATGAAACAGGTTTCATACACCAGGATCAGAGCTGGGAGATGAATCCGGAGACTTGGAGGGTACTTGGAAGCCATTGTATGGCATTAAAAAAAAAAAGTCCAGCCAGCATTAATATCTTTCCTTCTGTTTCAATGTTTCATCAGCCTCAAATAAAAAAAGACAGAAAGTAGCAGAGAAAGTCTGAATGTGATAAGAGAGTCCTGGAAGCATTTGCGCCAGGCAACGGCCTCTTTATTCCTTATCTGAAGCAGTGGGAGAGGAGGCCTGGCTTGCACTGATGGGTGTCAGCAGCTAACAGTTTGTTTTGTGCCCTGCAGTTGGAGGATATGTTCTCCCTGGAATGGGGTGGGTATTACAGGCATAACTGTTGGAAATGCCTCCATATGACACTATTGACATGTGCCAGTCATTGTCCTGGTGGATCATAAGCATTGGCTGAAACTGAGCAATTTCACAGCTAATGGACTGTCACAGAAACAACAGAAAGGGTTGCGGGCAGTGTTCCCTCTAAGCTGAGTTAGTGAGGGCTAGCTCACCGTTTCTTAGCCTCCGGCTCACACATTTTTGTCTTAGCTCAGGAAGGATGGCTCCAGAGCAAACTAATTTATGCAGCAGGCAAATCGCTCACTCACAACGTTAATGCCGGTAGCTCACAAAGTAGATTTTTTGCTCACAAGGCTCCACAGCTTAGAGGGAGCATTGGTTGTGGGGCTTGATGTGGGGATACCCTCAAGGGAAGAAAGAGGTGGCTATCTTCAGCAACAAATTCTGAATATCAGTAAAGGCAGCAGAGTGCGTAGGTTCCAAGCATCTCTGTTTACCACGGACTCCTCAATCTCTGATTTGGTATAGAACCTACTAACTGCATTTCCATCTTTTCCAGACTGAGCTACATAGAGGCACTTGTCTGGAACATCCACTGCCACACTTGGCACTCTGACAAGGGAGAAATAGAATTGTGCATTCTGTTGAAGCTTAATTTAAATCTCTGGACAACTTTTCTCATCAGTTTCGTGTAGGTGTCGAATAGAAAGAGATAACCCCACTACATAAAAAGTATAGATCCAATCAACTGACCCCCCCCCCAACACTACCTTCTGGAACGGGTCAGTGAGATAGGAATGGAACCAGTGTAGTAACTATCCTGCTAACCAGCAACAACTCAAGCAAGCAGATATACAGATTTGGACTCTTGTGTGTGTTTGGAGGGGTCTACTTCAGGGTAACCTACATGGTTGACATCTCCAGGCTGAGAAATACCCGGAGGTGTGGGGCAGAGCCTGGGAATGGGAGAGTTTGGGGAAGGCAGAGGGTTTGGTAGGAATGTGATGCCATAGCCCCCACCCTCTAGAGCTGCCATTTTCTCCAGGGGACCGGATCTCTGTAGTCCGAAGATCAGTTGTAATTCCAAGAAAACTCCAGGCCTCACCTGAATATCGACCCAGTCCTTTATTGAATTAACTTATTTCTCCTGACACACTGTCAGGTTTTCTCTCACAGTTCATGAATAACTCGGGCAGGCTCCTCAATCAATCAGCAAATCCACCAAAGAACTAAGTACATTAAAAACAGCAAAGAAGATTTGGAACTGCAAACTGATCTTATGAACGACATCGAACGGTTATGTTGTTAAAAGTTCACTCTCTTGACAGATGAACTGCTGCTTGGGTCAAGATTCTATACTACCAAGAGCCCATGCGCGTTATCACAGCCTACAGAAGTGGTAAGAAAGCCACCTGGCAGCTTATCTAGCAATTGATAAAATATGAAAGAAATTGTGTTTGCAGCACTTTACTGTGCAACTGCTGGAAGTAACCCCTCGCTAAGCAAGGGAATCATAGGAGTCAAATCAAATTTATTTATTGCTTGAATTTCCAGTGGCTTGGAAGATGTACTCTGAGGTCCTGCCACCCAGAACTCAGAGGCAGAGCACCTGCTGTGCATGCAGACATTTCCCAGCTTCTCCGGGTATCTCAGCTAGCAGCGGGTGTGAACAAAACTCCACCAAGCACCTTGGACAGCTTCTTGGACAGCTTCTGCCTGTCAAGCAGATAACACTGACCTCGATAAGACCAAGGATGGGACACTGTATAAGTCAGCTAGGCAAGGGCCATGGCTCAGTGATTATGGGTACCAATGTTCCCTCTAAGCTGTGGAGTCTCGTGAGCAAAAATTCTACTTTGTGAGCTACTGGCATTACAGTTGTGAGCAAGCCATTTGGCTCCTGCATTAATTAGTTTGCTCTGGAGCCACTCTTCCTGAGCTGAGACAAAAATGTGTGAGCTAGAGGATAAAAAAACTGTGAACTAGCTCACACTAACTCAGCTTAGAGGGAACACTGATGGGTACCAACCTCCAGGTGGGGCCTGCAGATCTTCCAGAATTACAACTGATCTCCAGATTGTGGAGATCCATTTCCTTGGAGGAAAAGGCAGCTCTGGAGTATGGTTTCTATGGTATCCCCACTGAGGCTCCCTCCCCAAACTCCATCCTCCCAGGCACCGCCCCCAAATCTCCAGGAACTCTCCAAGCCGGAGTTGCTAACCCTGTCTGCATAGAGCAACAACTTTGCATTAAGAAACTCTCGCATCCATTCTCCCAACAGCATACTCCATTCAAAGGAACAGGTATGTAAAAAACCTCCACCTGAGACCCTGGGGAGCTACCACTACCTGCCATTTCACACCTTGCATCTGCTGAGTAGCTGCTGATAACATATGGTAGGATGGTTATCCTTTTCTAGAATATATTTACCAGAACCACCCATGACTTTTAAATCAATGGTCAGGCTGCTACACAAGGCTGGAGTCAGCCAGTTTTCCTTGCTACATTTCTAGCTGTGCTTAGAAGAAACGAAATTAACCCTAAAAGAAAGGAATAAGTCATACAGCTGCCAACCTCCAGGTGGAAACTGGAGTACTCCTGGAATGACAACTGATCTCCAGAGATCAGTTTATTGATTTTACGGAGCTTAGACTGGAGTAACTCCACATGGAATTTGCACTGTAAATCAATTTACTTCTTGCCCTTCCCTTTTTAAGCACTTTGCTGTGTTGTCATAGTAGCTAACTGGAGAGACCTTTTTCTGATGTAAGCATTGTAAGGGTGAGATTGATTTTGAAAAATCCAGCCGGAACCAGAAAAATTTCCAGACAAGGTGAAGACCTGGAAGGTTAGGCAGAATGTATGAGAGCCAGTATGGTGTAGTGGTTAAAAGCAGCAGACTCTAATCTGGAGAACCAGGTTTGATTTCTCACTCCTCCACATGAAGCCGGCTGGGTGACCTTGGGTCAGTCACCATTCTCTCAGAACTCTCTCAGTCTCACCTACCTCACACAGTATTGGTTTTGGGGAGGGGAGGGGAGGGGAGGGATTGCAAGCCACTCTGAGACTCATTCAGGGAGTGAAGAAACTCTTTTCTTCTATTTCTTAGCAGTACATTTTGCTAAAAATAGCCCTGCCTAAAAAAAAGAAATTGTCATGTCAAATCCTAAAGGGCATGCAATCCTAAAGGGAGATATAAACTTCTAAGTACACTGAAGTCAGTGGGTTTAGAATGACGTAACTCTGTTTAGGATTGCACTGCTGGTAAAATGAGGATTGAAGGACTCTGAATTGTGTCTTTGATAATAATGTTTTTAATATTGAGATGCTGAGGGGGTCTTTTTTATAACAGTTAAATTTAAGATTTAAAAGGTATAAAAGCAAATCTGACTAAGTTCATAAGATGTAGCGTTTTAAGAGATGGCATTGTATGTAAGCAATTTGAAGATCTCCTCTCTTGGTTTTTTAGTCAGTAAAAAGGTAAAGGTTCCCTTGCTCAAAAGCCAGTCGAATCCGACTCTAGGGTTGCGGTGCTCATCTCCGTTTCAAAGCCCAAGAGCCAGCGCTATCCGAAGACCTTTCCGTGGTCATGTGGCCGGCATGACTAAACACCAAGGCGCACGGAACGCTGTCACCTTCCCACCAAAGTGGTACCTATTTATCTACTTGCAATTTCTTGCTTTCGAACTGCTAGGTTGGCAGGAGCTGGAACTAGAGACGGGAGCTCACTCCGTCATGCGGCACCCGGGTCTCAAACTGTTGGAACTACCGACCTACCACAGCCTGCAGTTCAGCGTCAGTAGTGGTTACTTTTTGTTTTTAGTCAGTAGTGGTTACCTTTTCTTTCTCCCTAAACGTAGTACCCCTCCCTTTTTTCATTGTAGTTTTGTAGTCTATATAAAAATGCAATTAAAAAATCCCCTTCGGGGGGCCAAAAAAAAAAAAGGATTGCACTGCTGATGCTTCAGGCGGGGCTAGAGTTGCCAACTCTGGTTGGGAAACACCCGGAGGTATGGGGCAGAGCTGAGGCAGGGCTTGGGAAAAGGAGGGACCACAGAGGTAGATAATGCCATAGATTCCACCCACCCCTCCAAAGCTCCCATTTTCTCCAGGGGAACCGATCTCTGGAGTCTGGAGATCAGTTGTAATTCTGGGAGATCTCCAGTCCTGACCTGAAGGCTGGCAAGCCTAGCCGGGGCTGAAGCTGTTGTTAAGGGCCCACCACCACAGCAGGACCCAGTGGACTCCCAACAGCCTATCTTTTGGGCAGAAGAGAGTCACTGTTCACTCTCTTCCAAGTGGCAGCTGCAGGGTCAGGTCATTTGCAGGGCCACTGCTAAATCTGTTTAGTTGCTGTCCTATGCAACTTCTCCTTCTGAATTGCTCTGCATTTGTAGTTGGACTATAAGGAAGGCCGAGCGCCGAAGAATAGATTCTTTTGAACTATGGTGCTGGAGAAGACTCTTGAGAGTCCCTTGGACTGCAAGAAGGTCAAATCAGTCAATCCTAAAAGAAATCAACCCTGACTGTTCCCTGGAAGGCCAGATAATGAAACTGAAGCTCAAATACTTTGGCCACCCAATGAGAAGGGAGCACTCACTGGAGAAGGCCCTGATGCTGGGAAAGATTGAAGGTCAAAGAAGACGGGGACGGCAAAGGATGAGATGGTTAGACAGTGTTATCGATGCAACGAACATGAAGTTGAGAAAACTCCAGAGGACAGCGGAAGACCGGAAGGCCTGGCGGGATGTGGTCCATGGGGTTGCGAAGAGTCGGACTCGACTGTGCGACTGAACAACAACAACAAAAGTGCTCTCTACCGGGGAGTGCTTCTGCTGTTTCAGTGAACTCGCTCTTATTTATTTGTCTTTTCTCCTCACTAGAATTTAAAGCAGCTGCCAATATCATTCTCCCCCACCTTCATTTTATCTTCACAACAACTGCCCTGTGAGGTAGGTTAGGCTGAGAGTGTGTGATCACCCAGCAAGTTTCCATGGCAGAGTGAGGATCTGAAGCCTAGTCTCCCAGATCCTAGTCAGACATGCTAACCAATATACCACCTCAGCTGTCAATGGGTGTGGGAAGGGGGTGTTTGTAAGCACCAAGGGTTAGAAGAAGTAAAATGTTCTGTCGTCGCTACTAACTCATGGTGACCCCCAAGCATGGGGTGTTCAAAGCAAGAGATAGCAGAGGTGGTTTGCCACTGTCATCCTCTGCTTGTTTCCAAGTACTGACACTGGAAGCAAATGTTAATGGAATACACAGGTCTGTCACATTTTGCATTCAAACCCAAATATATTCAAGGTATGCAAAAAGTGACTCATTGTTAGCATCAATCACAGGTCATAATCCTATTTCACTAAGACTAACTCAGTGGAGGTTATCCCCAAGTAGAGATGTGCCAGTTTGGGGGGGAGGAGTCTTAATTAAAATTGGGCTGAAATGCTTGGGGACTGTAACATTAGCCCAAGAGAACTTCTGAAAAGTACTGAGACTGATGAGTGATTTCAGCTCTCATACTTTTATTAGTGCAGAACTTCAGCCGGCTCGCAGGCCGGCTTATATTCCCAGTGAAACCACCACCCAAAACATACACACACACCCACACACCGCAATAGGCTATTTACAGTGGCTGAGAGTTCCATGGGCTCTCGGCCGGGAGCCTAGCCCTCTGATTGGTGCGGGCTAGGATCCGCTTAGTCCATTGTTTCCCGGATCGAAGCTCGGAGGTTTCGCAGGACCGCGTGGAGCCCCCGTCTGCCATGCGCTCGGGACTGGATATATTACAACTTCCCTGCTACATTTCAGCTAGATAGGAGGAAGCATCCCTGATTTATGGGAAATTACAATTCTGGTTTGCAGAGAAAGCAATGTTGACAAGTAAAATTTTCTTCCTCTCCCAGGATTCTCAAGTAGAGGGTGGACTGGATCTATCATTAAGCAAAAATAGTGTGTTCGGGGATCAAACCAACCCTAATCCACCCACCACCTTAATTTGTTCTAGGGGGTTGATTGCGGGATTTTTTCTTAGAGCCAAGCTGACTTATAGTATGGGAGTTGGGCTAGGAGGAAAAGGCTAAATCAATCAACTGAGCACAGTACATTAAGGGAGGGAGAGTTTAGTTTCTCCTTGCCCTGTTTTACACATCAACAATCAGAATTGTACAGAAATGCAAAAGGGTCACCCCATTTGGCCACAAATTTAAGATGTTTACTTGTCTTTTCTCTCCCCCCCCCCACAACCTTGCACATCCCAGCTTTGGAAGATGGATTCTATAGTATCACATCCCTGCTGAGCTCCCTCTCCACCCCAAACTACACCCTCAAATCCCCAGGAATTTCCCAAGCTGGAGTTGGCAACCCTACCAGATCCAACAGCTTGGACCTAAAAGTGCACAGAGTTACATTGGGGGGGGGGCTCTCTTATTACCTTTCTTTTGGAGAGCAGAGTATTTACCTCTCTTCCCCACCTCCCTCCACTCCAGTCTGCAGTGCTGCTCCATTCCAAAGGTTACAAGGAAGTTTTTATTTGTCCCCTGTAGGAGCACATATGGGGCAGGGGTATTTAGCCTTTGCCAGGCCATACCACTGCCTGTATTCCTGAGAATGGCTAAAAATGTAAGCACTGTGCATAGAAATGCCTAACAGGATAATCCTCCTTAGCTGGATACTCTGCTAAATCTTGTAGTTGGAAGATGCCCCAGTCAGTTAAAATTATCTGTTGAGGCACTCACTACTCTATTGCTACCCTTCCTGTTAATGCTGTGGCACTGAAATAACAATTCCAAAGATGTCCATAGATCTCTGATACTGAGTGTACTAAAGAGTAGCTGTGATTCAGTTGGTATTTTGACTACTTAATAACTGAGCACATCTCGATTCCCAAATCATTCTGCATAGTATTGCTGCTAATAATAATAATAATAATAATAATAATTTCAATTTATTGATCGCTTTTCCCACACACCTGTGGGCTCAGAGCGATTTACAGTTACTCATGACAGTTGGACTAACAATACTCATGGGAGATAGGGAAGACAACATACAGTATATTTTTAATTACACACACATTGTAGCTGGCCGGGGATTCATCTGCGAGCTGGATCAGTCGTGTTCCGACGGCATGTATTCTTGTCGGCTGGCTGATGACATCAGGGCTTCTTGATGTCGCGCTGCCACACTGCCACCACCTGGCCGACTTGCTCCACTGCAGGGATGCCAAAACAGATCTTTCAGCTTTTGACCTTGCCTGGGTGTAAGTCCCATTGAAAGAAGTGGGTTTTCGTTTCAGAATAACTGTGTTTAAGATTATCTTATATAGTTGCAGTCCTATGCATAGTTACTTGCAAGAAACGACTAGTGATAACAGTGGGACTGGCTTCCCAGTAAGAGTGCACACAACTGGGCACTTGCAAAGTTGCTCCACTTCTACTGTATGTATCACTGCATCTATTTTGCATAAATATTGCTCCTCCTCAGTTGCAATGGTTCACTTAGGCAAGAATTCACTGGGTGGCCTGGCGTAAGGCAAGTCACTTTGTCTCAGCTTCAGGGTCATACTGGTCTACCTTACAGGGCTGTTGCAGGAATTACAACAAAATAATGTCTGTGAAGTGCTTTGAACACTAAAAGTGTTTGACAAAGTCAACCCCTGGTGTCAAATGCTTAGGTTAATGTTCCGCAGGGCATGCAAGGCGGAGATGTTCCGCCGGGCCTTCAGGTAGACAGTGATGGGGCATCCTTGGAACTCTTACATAAGTCCCCATCCCTCATAACCCCTCCCCCAGGGAGGCTGGGGAGCTGGAATTCTTTCCACCATCTCATATACTGTATGTATGCTGTTTTTATTTATTGGTAATTATTGGTTTATTTTAAATTAGTTTTAACTTGAGATTTGTACATTATTTTGTTGTAAGCCACCCTGAGCCCTGCTTCTAAGGAAGGGCAGCGTAGTAAATCTAATTTCATAAATAAATAAATAGTACGTAACTTCTACGTTTTAAACGTTTTTAGCTCAGGGATCCATAAATCGAGCCTGGTCAACACGAAAGAATCAATCATAGCATAATTTGTTTATGCAAATCCACACATTCTTGTTTATTCAGAACTGGGCTGTCAAAATATAGGGTTGCTTAACTTGCTTTTATTTAAAAGATCGTACTCTCTCTCTTAGCAGACTGCTCCAGCTAGTTTGTAAGATAAAGTCAACCTAAAAGCCAACATATAAAAAACAAATGTAAATAAATAATGACAGAAGCCAAAAATAACCCACAGAAGGCAGCTTTAAAAAAAAAATCAAAAATCAAACCCGCCCTGTACAAGCAGGGGAGACGCGAGGAGCTGAGAGCAGCAGGAGTCGGCCGCTCGGGAAGAAGCAGGGCCGGGCGGGGGGGGGGGGGGGGCCCATCACTGCCAAAGCGCCGCTCCGGCCCGAAACGAGCCCTGTGTACAAGTATGCGCACCTGGAAACAGGTCCTATTCTAACCAACGGCATTTATTTCCAAGTAAACGTGCTCAGGTTTAGGGCGTTAATTTTTTTTGCTAGCTGACAAAATATTTATCGAGGCAACAGTTGCCCTATTAGAGCAAAACCACAGGCCCACCAGTATCTACCCTAACAAATGAATACAGACAACTCTGATTGGCTTAAGATCTGTTTCCCATGTCACTTTATTTGGCTGTACCTCCAAGCTACCCCTTTTTCCAGTTTCCTATTGGCTTGGCTGTGTTGCCATGATCCTCATCACCTGACCGTCACTGGATAATTTCCTTATCAGTCACGTTTGAAGGCGGGCCTATGACAAAACTGGGGAGAAATGCAAACGGGTGGACCATTCCTTGGTTCCAAGTTTGCAACAATCCTTTGCTCAGTTTATTGGCGCGCAGTCCTTTCAATCAAATTTAGGCCCCTCCTCTAATGTCAAAGCAAAGGTTGGGATACAACCGGAAAAAAAACCTCCAAAAAAGCCTTACTTTTTCCTGTTTTCCCATTGGGTTCCACCCAGTCTGGGATCGCTATTCATCTATTGGATTATTTTGCGATCAGTTCACCATCTCCTTACTCCGATGGGCTGCTGCAAACGCCGCTCGAGGCTACAGGCAAGGCAGAGGGAGGCCTTTGCCATCCTCCGAAAAGGCGGGATGACAGAAACCGACCCTTTAATTGGCTCTTTGGCCCGCCTCTCTTCCCTTTCCCCCCCAGCGTTGATTGATTCGCTCGTCCGCCGACCTCCTGTTTTTCGTCCCGTCCATTGGCTCGTCTCTTAAAAGGAGGCGGGGCAGGGCGCGGAGGCTGCGCGCGGGGACGCGGCGGCGAGGAGGGACACATCTTGAAATTATTTTTTATTTCTTTGTTTCCTAGGAGGGGGGCACAGAAAAAAAAAAGCGACGGAGGACGAAAAAGAGAGAAACAAAACCAAAAAAAGGAGCAAAACACGCCGTTAAAAAACAACACGCCCCCCCCAAATAATAATAATTAAAAAAACACCCTAAAAAGCGCCTCGCCTCCCTCCGCGCGGGCAGCCCGGACGCGTTCGGATGTTGTCGCTCTGACCCGGGCGGGGCAGGAGCCGAGAAGGATGAAGCGCCGGAGTGCCGACTGCAGCAAACTCCGGCGGCCGCTGAAGCGGAACCGCATCACCGAAGGCATCTACGGCAGGTAAGGCCCCGCACCTGCCTCGGCCAGGCGGATGGGAGGCGGCGGCAGCGGCGGCAATGGCCCTGGCGTTTCCTCAGCATTCCCTCCGCTGCGGGCCGTCGCCTCACACACACGCCGCGAACCTGGCCGGGGCTCCTCCTCCTCCTCCTCACAACGCTTCTTTTGCCTCCCCCCCCCCCCCCCCCCCCCCCCCCCCCCCCCCCCCCCCCCCCCCCCCCCCCCCCCACCCCCCCCGCCTCCGCAGGCCTTCCTCCGCCGCTTCCACGCCGCGGCTCCCCTCACACGGCGCTTCCCGCCCATTGTCCGCCGCTGCCTTGCTTTCCTTCCTCCGCAAGTTCTCCTCACGGACCCGCCTCGATATACAGACAGAACCCGTTCCGTTTCCTCAGGCCGCCTGGCCGGCCCTCACAACAGACCCCCGACCCCCTTCAGTCAGTGCGTCGCTTCTTCGCAGCCCCCCACCCTTCAATAAATACACACCAGGTTTTTTCTGACGCACACCTCAGAACGACAACCCCCGCCCCCCAAACACGCCACGCCAGACTTTGTCTTTCCGTAGGCCTTT